TTCTGGAGGTGATGTCGCATGTTAATGACGCAAATTTGCGTCAATCTTATCGTTGTGTCGCAACTTCGCAACGTAATTGTGTCATTTAAATATGTGCCACAATTTTGCTTCAAATATGAGACATTATATTTTTTTGCCTCAATTTCACGTCACATATTTGCGACACATGAAAAATATGTAGTTAATTTGCGACTTAATTTGATTTTTGTAGCAAATTTGGGACACAATTGCGTCATTTTAAGAATATGCTACTATTTTGCTGCAAATATGTGGCAATTGATATTTGTGTCACAAGTTTTTGCGGCATCCAAACAAAGTGTCGCGAGTTAGAGACACTGTTTGAATGTTGCAAGAAATCCGTAACACAATTTATTACTTTAATTCCAAAAACAATTTTGCGATATTAGTAAGGAAGAACATCAAATTTTCTACTTGATTTTATTTTGAATATAAAATTATGTTACAATATTGCTATTTCCTTTAGCTTGCATGTAAAAACAACATGCAAGTATGAAGTGAGTCATAGATTTATGAAGTGCAATATAAATTATTTTAGAAATACACTTTATATAAAGGGAGCAAGGATACGTTGTTCCTTATATATTAATAATTATACTACAAAAAGATTTATCTTATTATAATCAAGTAAACACTAGCTCAAGTTTACTCAAAATAATGGTTAACTTGTTAAGTAGTAAAGCCTTCATGTAAAATTAGATTGCAATATCGATTATACATCTCGCTTAGTTATTTACAAAATGAAATTTGACATACCTCAATCTGTTATGTAAAAGAAAGTATTATGATGAATACTACAAGATGATGTGTACATAATACATCTACACATATCATAACACATGATCATAAGTATTGAATCGGTTTATTTAGTCCACTAGCTAGTAGGATGTACACTTTTTTTTTTAATTATTACAAAAGAAAGTGTATGGGTTCAACTGATAAAGATGAAAAATGTCATTAGGGGTGTCATTGAAAAAAAACAATTCTCATATGGCTAAATTAATTAGAAAGAGTACGAAGGTGCCATTTCAAAATATAAATGGTGACCTAAAAGAATTTAATCAGTTTATGTGTCAAAATACTAATTATCTAAAATTGCCAATTAATTACGTCTAGTTACTATTTACTATTACTGCTAGGTAGTTGGGCGGGTCATATAAAACCATAGATATGGTAAACCCTACATCAATTCAGCCGCCTCACTTCTCCTTTTCTCCCTCGGCCGTCTAGGCTTCTCCCCTTCCTTCTTATTTTTTATTTTTCTCTCTGTCCATTTCTTTTGTTTAAAATTTTCCTTCAACAAAACCATGGGCATTCACGCATTAAGCAGGGTAGCTATGGACTTGTCCGGATCTGTTAAAGTGCATAATGGTGCCAGAATTTCGGAAGCCAAAAATTAGAGTTTCCTTTGTTTATGATAAGAAGCGGCCGTCAACCACTCCGGCAATAGAGGAGAAAGATCGAGATCAACTGGAGCATACGGTATGAGCTAATATTATCAAAATATATTGATGTTGATTTTCAAGGAAAAGGGGTTGTAGTAATTCCTTGTTTGTAATTTTTTTTTTCAGAAATTACTATTGTTTCTTTTCATGTTGACTTCGATGGGATGTGGAGAATTTTGGAGGATTGAATTATATGGATTTTGGAATTGATACTGGGGAGAGGAGGTTGAAGTCTTGAAAAGGGAGGGTGAATTTGGAAGTACAAGATGTAGTGGTAGCCCCTGGTTACTATTTACTGTGCTACAAATATTAAGGAACAAGAACAAGAGGAGGCCGGCTGGCTTGGATGGATCTGATACTCCAAAATGGAAAATGGATGACAACGCTATAAAAAGGAAGATGTAAATGTTATGTAATTCCTTGCTCTAGAAAGTCCCTGTTTCACAATGGGATACATATTATTGTAATATGTTTTATTATTATCATTATTATTATTATTATTATTATTATTATTATTATTATATTCTCATGAAATTAAATAGTGGCAATTCAATACGAAAATTTGACCCATCTAAATGTGGCAAATATAACAAATGACGCAAAGTAATGTCTCAAACTAATGTCGCAAATCTTAATGTAGCAAATATAACAAATGACACAATATGTACCGCAATTTCATGAGGCTATTTATTAGTGTCGCACAAGTGTTACATTTATTCGCCTCATTTTCTTTCAAAAGTGTCGCAAAATTTGTGACCGCACTTTCCGCGACTCTTTGAGTTATGTCGTATATTCTGTCACAATTGAGTTTTCGCGACACTTTTATCACTTTTTGCAACACATTTTTTGAGCCCCTAAAGGTTATTTTTCTTGTAGTGATTATGGTTTTGAAGTTAGGCAGGAAGCAGGGGCAGATCCAGGATTTGATATTTGCACGTGCTCAAATACAGTAAAAAGAATCAATAAGTTAATACTTTCACGGCCTCTAAAGTTTATTGCTTACAGATTTATTATTTAATTAATAATTATTAATTTATTAAATTTAGAAAAAAAGATGAAAAAGGAACTTCAAGTTTTCTAAGAACTAGAAGTAAAGTCGAGTTGGGTTTATATGAATTTAATTTTTAACTTATCATCTTAGATACAAATTTCAAGAAAAAAAAAAACAAACTATCTTTATATTCATACTTTAATAAATCTTCCCAATTTTTTATTCTTACTTTTAGTTACTAATTAGTCCGTCAAACATCAATAATTCAATACTTTCATGACCAAATTGATTAATTTATAAATTTATTAAGTAATAATTATCAATATATATGTATATATTTAAAGAGGATTAATAGTAGTTCTCCACTTACCCCGCGTGACTCGAATTAATGACTTATTGGTCAGTAGTAAATTTCAGCTAGGCCAATTGACGAGGTCGTCTTCCACCTGCCGGTGTTGCTCAGCATAGTTGATCACTACAACAGAACAAAGTCGATAGGGACGCGTGTATGGGGTTTTGCTCAGCACATCTTTTAGGAGAACTGTTGAGGAAGTTTACCAGATCATTGTTTCCTTGAGGATCACATGTAGTGGGATCACATTGGAAAGTAATCTAAGAAATCAATCCTACTTGTTACTTATCAATTCTAGTTCGTAACATTAGAGTACATGTCCACAGGTTAGCAATTTTTGTGAGTTTGTCATTCCCGACTTTTTTCATTTTAAGTTTTCAGAACTGATCGGGCCACCGACGATGAGAAAGAGGGAAAAATGCCTAATTTTTATTTTATGGTTTTAGAATGGTAATTAAAAAAATAAGGGTAACCATGTCATTATATACTTATATTGATTTTGTTATTTTTCACAAATAAATTACCGCCTTTCATAACAAATATTTTTTGGTCATACCCCTTTTATTAGTTTGAGTTTTTCTACTGCCCTTTAGCCAAATTTTCCCTTTAACATTTAAAACCCAAATGATTATTCCGCAATGAATTAAAGAACTGGGGCGTTTTACTACAATAACTTTCCAAAATTAAAATTGGTTAATTTCTTCTTCTTCTTCCTTTTTACGCTAGGAAACACAAAGTGCCGCCATCTATTTTTTTTACTTCCTCGACTCTAAAATAAGTGTCGTTATATTAAAATAGAAAAATTATAAAATAAGTGTCATTTTCTGATTCTAATGCATTTTTTGCTCAAAGTTTCCAAACTTACCTTTAGAAGAAATAGTAATATTGGTAAGTATTTATTTTAATGAGATTTTTTTTGAGAATATTCTAGTAATTTACCTAATCTATTGAAGGGTCCATTTATTTGACAACGTTACTTAATGCTTAAAATTATTGATTAAATACTTTTTTATTTAATTTTGTTTGATAACAAAGAAAATGAAGCTTTTAATAAATTAAGTGGTGTTGAAACTGCAGTATAAAATATGAGCAATAGAAATTAGAGTATTTCTTATTCCGTAACTTGCTTAATGAATTAAGCAATTCTAATTAAGTATTCAGAACTAAGCACTAATTTTTATCAAACATGCCCCTATCTTTTTTTTAACTTTCACGACACTTTTTTTGAAATGTAAGAGTATAATAAAATTTGAGATCGTCCCAAACTTTACTTTCCAATGATAGTAACTATTTTTGGATATGCACTCCATAGAAACACACCCATTTAAACCTAAAAAGACTTTTTCAAAAAAAAAAACCTAAAAAGAGAAAAAAAGAAAAAGAGAGTCAAGAGCTGAAATTAAACTCTGAACCAATGTTTTCAAAATCGAGATTTCATACAGGATCGTTTTGGCATCTCAGGTTCGGATTAGATTCTGGATCGGTGGGATCGAAACCATTTAAAATATTATACTAATTCTGAAATTGCGAGTTTCAATTTATTAGTTCAATTCTTATTTAATTTTATAGAGGAGAAGTAGATTAGTGGCCGCATAAGTATCATCAATTCAAAATTTCAACTTTTACATCTTTTCTAATCATTTTCCCCTTTTTTGTTTTTATACGTAATCAATAATTTGTACAAAGTATTTGACAAAATCAATAGGATCGCTAGATCGTAGGATCTTACGATTTGGATTGGGATTTTGAAGGATTCTGTAAGATTCCACTAGAAAGAAGGATTTTATAAGATCTGTGATCGATTTTCTAATTTCGGATCGCAGGATCGTATGATTCTAAGATTCGGATTGGGATTTGGAAAACTATGCTCTGAACCGTATGAACTTTGGATTACCTTATTTGAAAGTTAAGCTAGCGCCTAACTCTATTCCTTTTAGGATTTATGTAAAAAAGAAAAATTGTTCCTAAATAAAGAGGTTGTGCTTATCTCTTATTATTCATGATCTAACTCATCCGCACACAATCATCTCCTCTCTTCTTTTCTTATTCGGTTATTTCTTATTTACTTAAAGGATAGGAGAGTCTACGCAGCCAAATTCTGTTTTTTGGCCGTTGCCCGCTGCCTGAATCATTGTCGCAGTCGGTTCTGAGGACCATTCAGATTGAATTCGTGAGCAAGTTTTTTCACAGCTCAATGGATGTGATAAAATCGCAGCAAATGTCAGGCCGGCCAATTGAAAAAGTCGTGGTTCACCCGCTGGTGTTGCTCAGCATAGTTGATCACTACAACAGAGTCGCCCGGGACACCAACAAACGCGTTCTAGGGGTTTTGCTCGGCACCTCTTTTAGGGGAACCGAAAGAGGAACCGTTGACGTCACCAATAGCTATGCTGGTTCTCATCTAAAATTTTCCACTTTTAATTTTTCTTTATTTGCTTTAGTTATTGCTGTTTTAGCTTGCTGGTTCTCATCTAAAATTTTCCACTTTTAATTTTTCTTTATTTGCTTTAGTTATTGCTGTTTTAGCTTTCCCAGAATTATAGGGAGATATGGTTGTTCGGGGTTTTATCAGGGTTTTAAGTTTTTTGTTTTTATTTAAGAAAAAATGCTTGCAGAAAGTTTAGGGGTTGAGATACATAGAGGGTGGAATATTTCTTTCCTTGCTACATTAGGCCTGAAGGAAAAAAGATGTTTTCTTTCTGGGGTAGATCAGTTAGAAATTGTGGATGAAAGTTTAGAAAGTTTCTTTCTACAATTAAATGTTGATGCAGCATTCCTTTTGTTAATTTTTTGCCTTATAATGCCAAGTAGATTCTCTTGCCTTCAGATTTGGATATAATGTTGGCTTCACCTTGTCTATAAGAGCATTCATGATGGACTTGGTTAGAAGGAATTGAACAGGATTGGTCACTCTTAGTTGTTGAACATCAGACTTACTTTATCAATGTTTACCAGCTACTTCGGCTTTTACTAAATTCTATGGCTACTGTATGCAGTCCCTTTTGAAGAAGAGGATAAGGATTCTAGTATCTGGTTCCTTGACCACAATTATCATGAAGCAATGTTTTCGATGTTTCGGCGAATTAATGGTACTGAGCTTATTCTTTTGTTTTTTTAATATTTGATCTTGGTATGATAATCTTCAACTTCCCCAATGCTTAATTGGCCCATTTTGTTATTCAGCCAAGGAGCATGTTGTTGGTTGGTACAGTACGGTCCGAAACTGCGGGAGAATGATCTGAATATTCATGCTCTTTTAAATGAGTGAGATTCTCATCCCTTTAACAGTGCCAGCCTTGATTTTCGACTTGAATATTTGAGTATTGGTATTTTATCTGTTAAGTTTATAAGTTGATAAGAGTTGCTTCCTCATAGCAATGTTTGGTGTGTGGGTTTTCAGATATGTGCCAACTCCAGTCTTGGTCACTATTGATGTCCAGCCCAAAGAATTGGGAATACCTTCAAAAGCTTATTATGCTGTTGAGGAAGTTAAAGAGGTAGGGATGTTTCTCTTTTGTTTGGTATTGCGGCCGCCTAATTGATTAGATTACTTCGAAAGAAATTTCTGGACGTTTCCCTAGGTATTCCTTGTGATAAATTGTTTGAATTTTCTCGTTTGTGATTGCAGAATGCAACACAGAAAAGCCAGAAGGTGTTTGTCCATGTGCCTTCAGAAATTGCTGCACATGAAGTTGAAGAAATCGGTATGCTAGATGAATCTAATAGATTTTAAATCTTGTTTGTATAAATTTTATTTTGTGTGTAAAACGGTATTCAAGGTTGTATTTCTTAGTTTTCTCTTCCTCTTATCTTCTGTGCAGGAGTTGAACACTTGCTTAGGGATGTTAAGGACACTACAACAAGTACCCTGGCAACTGAGGTTCTTGACATGTTTAATTTTTTATATTATAGATAAAGAGCTGATATATTAAACTGGACTTTATTTTTTTGTTCGAAGAGATATTCATTAGTTTCTGTCTGTGGTCTAGGTTACTGGAAAACTTGCATCCTTGAAGGGATTGGATGCACGGCTCCAAGAGATAAGAAGCTACCTCAACCTTGCTATTGATGGAAAATTACCTTTGAATCATGAGATACTTTATCATTTGCAGGTAAGTGTATCTTATTTAGATGCTGTTTATTACAGTGGCTACACTTGTTTATGTTGCATTTATCTTCTCTTTTACTAGATTCATCCTGATTTAATCAGTTCTAAAATTTGTACATTATCATAGAAAGTTAGTTGCTATAATATGCTTCTTCTTAAGAGCATATGAAGTTGTAGCATGATATACAGGATCCAAAAATCAGGCTACTGTAAACATTTTTTGAGATACTAGATCACAGCCTTTCCTTTCTCGCATTTGATTTTGATGTCATTAGCGAGTACTCCCTCCATTTCAAAATGTAAGTCTTTTTAGACTTGGCACGTAAACTAAGGAGACAATCATCTAACAATTAATTTATGTGTTAAATATTTTTTTTACCCCTCATTAATTACATTGAAACTATAAACAAGACTAAATAAAAATATATTAGCATCATTTATTGAGGGTAAATTTGGAAAAATAGTCATTAATTTGCCTAGAATTTGTAAAACGACCTACATTTTGAAAAATCTCTCCAAACCTAAAACGACCTACATTTTGAAACGGAGGGAGTATGCCTTATTAACCTGTGCGTTGCAGTACTTAGTCTAAAAGTCATTGTGTCTTGACTCATTCAATTTTGTTGTCCTTTTCCCAAGCCAATATTGGTTTATTGAAGCACTGCAAGTGAATCACTAGTTGCTTCCATTGACAATCGACTTTTCATATACCTTTTTGCATTGATGATGCTTTCTCTAGATATGTCCTCAAAAAAATGGTTATTCACTGCCTTGTATCAGTGGGATTAATTCAGACTTTGATATCCACATATGTGGAACTTGTTTTTTGACTGTCCTCTTATGAAATACATTTGTTTTCTGCAGGATGTGTTTAACCTGCTTCCAAATCTCAATGTATCTGAATTAATAAAATCATTTGCGGGTAAGTTTGTTATAATATAACTTTTGGTGGACGTTTGCTTTCTTTGGTGAAGCCCTTCCCTCAGACTCAGATAAAGTAGTTAATATAACTTCCTCTGTCTTTTTTTGGCAGTGAAAACAAATAATCAAATGCTGGTTATATACCTTTCTTCCCTTATCAGAAGTATCATTGCACTGCACAACTTGATCAACAACAAGGTGAGATTCAATAATTTTTATCACTATTTATCTTCTGATCAAATGTTTTTATGGGATCTCTTTTACATTTTGTTTTTCTTGGGGATGGTTTTTACGTTGAATTAAAGCTTGTTGATATGTGACTTCCTGAGCCTTTGTTTCATGGTTCTGTTTCCGCTTTTCTTTTTTAGATGCTTAACAAAGAGCACGAGAATGCTGAAGATTTAAACCAGTTGCTGTGCTGACTGCTGCTGGAAGCTGATCCTGTAAATGTATCAAGAGATTTTATTTTATTTGGGACCCTTTTGGTGATGGACTTGTGAACCTTTTAGAGTTGCTCGAAAAGAAGTCTTGTCCGTGATTCTGACACAACCTCAGGAATGTTGTTTGGAATGATTTAAGCTTAGTGTGTGAGGAAGTTTACCAGATCCTTGTTTCCCTCTGGATCCCTCTGGATCATAGGTAGAGGGATCACATTGGAAAGTAGACGTGAGACATCAATCATAATCATAGTTGTTACTTATTTGCTCTAGTTGGTCACTTTGGAGTACATGTTCGCCCCATTTTTTGTTGTTTAAAGCTTGAGTTTTTCAACACTTTGCATTCACTCTCGAACAATTGATTATTGCAGCATGGCCTCAAATCTAGCATCGTCTGACTATTGTATGGCCTTTGCAAATAAAACTGGCAAATGCAGGCCCAATGATTTCCCTCCCGTTGTAAAACTGATGAGGAATATTATTGTCAGAAAGTGAACATAAATTGACGTTACCGTATGTTTCTTTTGTTGCATCAAACGATAAAGCTGGCTTAACCTTTTGAAAAACTTATATCTCTTGAAACATACAAGGTAAATCCGGCCAAATAATCATAATCAATCTCCTGATCAAGTGGAAAACATCAACTGAATTAATCATCCTAGGTACACCAGAAGAACTCCATTACTCTCCAAGTATAGCTTACGTGTACCCTGGTCGTGATAGCAAAAGAGTTTGATGACCCGTTACCAGATTCCATGTGGAAGATGAAACGGCTGAGGTATGTTAAACCATGTCGATTTAGACTAAGGTTTTGCTCAGAAGAGTTTGGGTCAAATGATTCCTTTATGGGAAATCACAGCAGAGTGATACAGTTTGGCTCTTTGGTGTCAATGAAAGGCAGAAAAAGTTCTTTCTTTTTGCTCCTAACAGTCATACTGCTGGTTTCGATTTTGTGCATCCTTCAAGGCGTTTAGCCATTGTTTTCAATTTTTTTCTAATTGATTTCAGGAACTTATTCAATACTTGAAGTGTACATGCCCTCCAAATTATTTCTTCCATAAACATCATCCTTCCTAGGGGAGGATGATTCTAATAGTAGGTAAGGTAAGAGACTATCTAGCATTGATCCTGATAGTTATTCTCTGCAAAGCCTTGCCACAGTTACATCCTTGACCATGTTAATGAATCATAATGGCAGCTCTTATAGCCTTATAGGTGCTCAGAAACTAGCAAAGACCGCAACTTTTTAGGAACAAACAGCAACTTTTTCCATTCTGAGCAACAGATGACAGGATTTGAGGTTTTAGGAAATACTCCCTCCGTCCCATAATTATTGTTGAGTTTGGTTTTTTGTTTTTATTTCAAATTTTACTAAAAGTGAGATCTCAAACTGAACAATAATTTTGGGATGATTCTCCTGGAATGCCGATAAGGCTCTACAGTTTAGTGGGAAAATGGCTTCCTTTCCGCGGGAGTGTTTCAAACAGCAGTATGCCTTGGATTTTGGTATTTCATCTTTTCCGGTTCATTCAAAATCAATGAAAAAAGTATGACATTCTTTGATATATCTTCTTAACAATTTTAAACATCTTTTTACATTTTTTTTTGGTACAAATCTTGTTGCTGTTTTAAATCACCTTTTCTTGTTTGATATCACAATTAAAAAAAACATGAAAAAGTTTTCAAGAATTTCTTTCTGGATATCTTTTATTCATTTTTTCTCGTGTATATGGAATCTTTTGTTATCCCAAAGTTTCTCATTACGATAATATACTACTTTTAGCTTTTAAAATTTTTAAAAATATTCCAAAACCCAAGCCACAGTCCTTAACTTTAATGATCTGAACGACCGAATTTACCATTCAACCAGCAATATCCAAAATTCATTCAACAAATTAACAGACTGGATTGGTATTTTTGTACTCCCTGTGTCCTAGAAAATTAGTCTATTTTGTTAATTATGAATTGTATACCCTAAGAAAAAAAAAATTTATAATGTAGAATTTTTTTTTGGGGACGTAACAAGTATAAATCGTGTTTTAAAAAGCCAATCGATTGATTGGATTATACTTTGAAAATTATATTTATATCAATATTACTTAATTTTAATTAACGGTGAACCGTACGAACCTATTACGACCGCCATTTTTCTAAATTTTCTGCCCCTTCTCGAAATGGTAATAACACAATGACAATTTCTAAACGTCCTATTTCCTCTTTCATCATCTTTTCGGTGCTTAAACCCGCCTTCTTCGTCTCTTTTTACTCAGGTAACTTTAGAAAAAATAATTTTACTGTTTCTTTATTTATTATGGCATTTGCTACCAAGTTGAGATTTGAACACTAAATATCATAAAAATGTTTCAGCCTTATATACAACTCATCCATGTCACCCGTTTTCCAATTCTTTTCTTAAAACCTTGCTGCTACATTTTATTACGTCTTAAACAATTAAAGTATGGAGGTTGTTAATTGCTGTAATTAGGATTTCAGGAGGGATTATTTTGCATTAGGAAGAAACTTGAGAGGTTGATGCATAATGTTTTTTTAACCCATTTTACTTAATTGATTGCTTTTGGTTCAATTCGGATCAAATCTTGTATGAATCACTTTTAACATCAAAATCTTGTACTTTTGATGTTAAGTGCGTATTATAATACTAATATATATATAAACGATGCGTCAGATAAAGTATATAAGAGGTGTAAATGATCTTTTAATTATTCAATAAGCATAAACCCTGATCCACATTTCCACAACTAAAGTCTAAACGAAAAGCCATTGAGTGATTAGATCTCACACTGTGTTTACATATCTTTTCAATCAAATAGCATCATTAAATTTCTCTCTTCTTTCTCTTCTTTGTCTCAACACACCACAAACGAAATTTTTTTTTTTTTTTGTAGTTTCTTCTTTCTCTTAATTTCAATTTTTTTTTTTTTTTGGTCTTGAAAGAAGATCCTAAAAGGAGGAAATCAAAAACGATTTGCAAATAACTCATCTGCTGAAGCTCTACCATCAGCAAGGTACGTATTGTTAATTTTATACCATTTTAGTTTCTTACTCATTGTAGGTAACAAATGTATCTATCTTGTTTTCTTCTTCTTAACCAATTTAGATTTAGCAAGAACTAAAGTTAAAATAGTTATCATTTGAGCAATCTGGATCTTTTCCTTTTTATTTATTTTTTTGGTTAGCAATTCATGATTGCATTGGTTTTTGGGGAAACTTTCTTTTGTTTTGTTTTCCGTTTTATGGTAGAAAATCTCAATATCTTGTACATCTGGCACGAAGAAATAGTCCACATTACAACTCGTATAAAATTATAATATATTTTTTTATACAATGCTCAAACTATAATGTAAATTATTTTTATCGTGAAAACATTGCAGCACTTAAAAAATGGAGAGAGCAACCTATCCAACCTGTCTTGATATTGTACTTAAGTTCTTGGAGCAGTCAATTGGTAATGGCTACCTTGTTGCTAATACAAAGAGTCACATCCAAACCATGATCCTGGATTTGAAATTCTTTAAAATGTTTTTTTGGATGTTATCTTATTGTGAAGATTCACAATATGATTGGCATTTCCTCTTCTCAATCAATGCCATAGTGCCTAAATTAAGCCAAACAATAGAAGAGTTTATTGTGGACTATGAATGTGCACAAGATCATAAGGATCAAGAAATTATTTGGGAGGCGATGATCCATAATCTAGAGAAAAGAATAATTCATCAGTTCAAGCCAAGAGTCAAAGAAATTTGTGTCCTTATATTGACTGGTTCTTGCAAATTATATGAGTCTCTCAAGCACAAACTGAAAAGTTCGGTTCTAGAACAAGGAAAGGAGATTACCTCATTCATTGAATTCATCCTACATAATCTCAGTGCTTTACGCAATTCCAGTTTCGATTTGGGTTCCAACTTGAAGCAACAGATTGTATTCATCCAACAAAAATTGAGAGAATTCCCAAGGTTTTCGAGTTCGGCGAATCCTTCAATAACTAGAGTCAAGAAATTGAGTGAACTTATGTCTCAAACTCGTACTTGGGTTAAGCACATTTCATGTCTTGTGTGCCTGTATTGGATTCAAACTCCGAGTTCTGTCGCGGAGACCATAATGCTTTCGGATTTGGTAAAAGATTTGCCTTACAGTCCAGGGATCATAGCATCATATCTTGAAGATACAATGATTTCTCAACTCCTTGCGAGTTATTTTGATTTTCTCCTGGAAGACTTGGTTTTGCCTGTGAAGAATGGCATTGAAGTCCTTCGAGAAGGTTTGATATTCTTGGTGTCATTTGCCACAAATCCTCCAATGGAGGATTTGGATGACAGAGAAATGATTTTGCCTCAAATTTATTGTATCATCAATGAGCTACCGTCTCTGGTTAGCTCAATTCTTTGTCTTGAAGAAGGCATTTCTAGGACTAACTTTCTGGTTTTTCTGCAAAAGATCAATGAAGTTAAGGCCAATATAAGAAAGTTATATGCCACCATTCCACACTCAACAGAGCTAAATTCTCCTAGAACTAATCCGACAGGATTTCTTGATTCGCTCTTAAGAACATTAGAAAGGATGTTGGAAGCAAATGCAAGTTTTATTACTTCCACAAATCATCAAATGGGGGTACTCTGTGAGTCGTTGAAGTCGCTCAGGATGATTCTCCGAGAAAACATTTGGTTGCAAAATGAGGATGGCAAATTAAGAGATCTTTGGACTCGTGCTATTGATCTGGTTTACCATGCAGCATATGTCACACACTTCTATCCTCCCAAGAGTTTTTCGGTATGGTATTCTATTGCAGGCTTACCTAATGTTATAGAGGACATAAAGCTCATTGAGACTGAGTTTCAAAAGCTTGATTATCATGAGAAGTTGAAAGATAAATTGCTCTGTGCTGAGATGGAGTCTAGTATTGTTGTGTCTCCAACTGAGGAATTTTTTATTGGTTTTCAAGAGGAGACAGAATCAATCATTGATTCCCTTGTGCATGGACAGAAAGATCTCACAGTAATTTCTATTTCAGGAATGCCTGGCCAAGGCAAGACAACTTTGGCGAAAAAGGTTTATAAGGACCCCCAAGTTCAATATCATTTTCACAGAATTGCTTGGTGTTATGTCTCGAATCAGTGTAAAGCTATAGAGTTGTTGAAGGAGATTGGGCGTGTTCTCATTGGTACTAATAATGCATCCAAGCTAGAACTTGCGGATTTAGTGGACTGGCTAAGAAAAAGTTTTAAGAAAAAAAGATATCTCATTGTAATGGATGACATATGGGATGTAGAATTATGGTACCAAGTGAAAGGATCATTCCCAAATGATAGCAATGGGAGTCGAATTCTGTTTACAACTCGTAACCATGATCTAGCTTCAGGAGTTGATCTGCATTGCATTTCACATCGTCTTCGCTTGTTTTCCAAGGAAGAAAGTCAAGAATTAATGGAAAAGAAGCTATTCCAGGGCAATGGCGGAGCTCAAGCAGAACTTTTAGAGATTTCAAAACTGATTGCGAGTCTTTGTGAAGGGTTGCCTTTAGCTGTTGCATTAAGTTCCTCTATACTTTGCAGGACAGAAAGGCAACCGGATTTGTGGTTTGAAGTCGCATTAAATTTGAAAACTCACCTTGCTAGTGAAGGATGCGGGAAGGTTATCGAGTTAAGTTACAAGTATTTACAGGATCATTTGAAATCATGCTTTCTGTATCTTGGATCATTTCCAAGAGGGGCTAGTATTTGTACAAGCGAGTTGAAGCAGCTTTGGATTGCTGAGGGATTCATCAAGGATGATGAGATGCATTGTTCTGAAGATTTGGCAAATGAGTACTTGGATAATCTCGTTTCTCAAAACTTAGTTGTGTTGGTTGAAAAGAGTTCATTGGGTGGGATCAAGAAATGCAATGTTCACGATTTGTTGTATGACTTCTGTTTGGAGAAGGCCAAGGAAGAGAATTTTCTCAGTTGGTCAGAAGAGAGTCTGATCATGGATTCGTGTAAGTTTACTCCACGAAGGTGTAGTCAATACCGGCTTTCCATTCGCACTGATGATCCATTCATCATGGAGAAATCAGTCTGCGTGAGAAAGGAATTACCAACCAGTCAAGTACACTCTTATCTTTGGTTCCATCCCACTCATACTCTAAACTTTTGGTTTGCAGAAAGCTTTCGAGTTCTTAAGGTGTTGAATTTGGAGCAAGTTTATCTGGAATGTGATAGGTTTCCTCAACTTATACTGTTCAATATTCATCTTAAATACTTGGTCTTAAATTTTGGTTATCGCCAGATTGAGTGTATTCCATGGTCAATAGGTAACTTGTGGAACCTTGAAACTCTGATCGTGATAGCAAAACAACTTGATGACCCGTTACCAGATTCCATGTGGAAGATGAAAAGGCTAAGACACGTTAAACTATGTCGATTTAGACTTGGGCTTTGGTCAGAAGAATTTGGGGAAAATGATTCCTTCATGGGAAATCACATTGAGACACTTGGTGAGTTAGACCTTGGCCTTTATGATAGCAAGACAACTGAGTTTTTAAGAAAGTTGCCAAATCTTAAGAAGTTGCATTGTCACATTGAAGATAAAGAGCGCTTTCGCATGTGGTTTTCCCTGTTTGGATCTTTAACGCAACTGCAATCGCTGTTCATTGATGGCGATTTCTATGAGCCGCCTTCGTCTGTAAGTCCCCCTCCATTCAACTTTTCTAAGAACCTTAAGAAGTTGTCATTATGGGGACTGTATATACCCTGGAGTAGAATGTCAATGATCGCGAAGGTATTACCGGATCTTCATGTTCTCAAACTAGCAAATGAAGCATGTGTAGGAAGCAGGTGGAATTTGGAAGATGGAGACTTTCCAAAACTCAAGTATCTGAAGCTAGACCATTTGAATGTTGAAGAAATGGATGCGTCTGGCTGTGATGATAACCCCTTCCCTTGTCTTGAGCAACTGTTTGTGAAAAACTGTCACAAGCTCAAGGACATTCCTTCCTTTTTCGAAGAGATTTATACCTTAAAGACCATCCAAATGATCGGAAGCTCTTGTGAAGCTAATGATTCTGCGAGGCGAATTTTGAGTAGCCAGCAAGAGATGGGGAACAATGACCTTCAAGTATTCATCCTACGCGAGTCCAATTCTAACACGTACAGATTGTCGCATGTAGCTGACAACAACTTGAAGCTCCCGGATTGGAGGACTAACCTTCTACCTGATTCTCGGAGGAGAATTAGAAATAAAATAATGGAGACTTTGTGGAGGTGTGTCCCTTTTTTCTGTGGATCAGGGGAGTTAAAAGAGATCAAGAAAATTGCCACAAAGTTCGAGGACAAGATATATACCGTAGCAACAAGCCAGGAAGAATATTTAAGAAAGATTTCTTTGAAGATGTTAACTATGGAGGAAAACAGGACCCCCCACTACATAGTACCGTAAGCAAATCAATGCTGATTCTGCAAATTTCAGGTATCCAATGTTGGTTGGGTTTTCTTACACCGCTGTTAACATGTCAAGATAATATTACTGTATTAGTTTGGCTTAATTTGATGTCTTTTGTGATACTTATGTACATTTTTGCTGTGCATTTTTGTCTTCTTTCTTTTTCAATATTTCCGTTCGTTTGCTTTTCTTAACGATTGGAGATACGTATGTGATGGTTCCTAAAATGTTTGATGCAAGTGGTGGAGTTTGGCTCTTTGGTATCAATGAAAGACAGAAAAAGCTCTTTCCTTTCTGCTCCTAACACTCATACAGCTGGTTTCGATTTTGTTCATCCTTGAAGGTGTTTAGCCATTGTTTTCATTCTATTTCTAATTGATTTCAGGAACTTACTCAATACTTCACCATGTTAATGATTCATAATGGCTGCTCTCATAGGTGCTCAGAAACTATTTTAAAAAAAAAGACTGCAATTTTTTAGGAACAAACAGCAACTTTTTCGGTTCTGAGCAACAGATGACAGGATTTGAGGTCTTAGGAAATAATGATTCTCCTGAAATGCTAATAAGGCTCTACAATTTAGCGGAAAATGGCTTCCTTTCCGGGGGAGTGTTTCAAACAGCAAGTATGCATTGGATTTTGGTATTTGGTCTTTGAATGGCTTGTTTTACACTCCCTCCATCCCAAAATTATTATCCAGTTTGGATTTCCATTTCTAGTTCAAATTGTATTGGAAATGAAAATGCAAACTGCACAATAATTTTGCGACGCAGGTAGTAGTTCACATTGATGGAGACTTACTTCTTCTTCCCCCCCCCCCCCACCCCCAAGGTTAATTTTAGGTGGCTGTGGTGTTTACAGCTGGTTTTTCCAGCTACACCTTTACTAGTGACCAGAGCTAGGATCTGAATTCTGCTGCGCTCATATTAGACCCATCTAATACAGTAGTTGAAAAAGTCATGAATCAAGATGCTTCCTTGAGTTCCTTTATTTGGAAAAGTTGTATCCCTCCATTTACTTTTTTTTCTTACATGATTTAAATGTAGAATCTTTTCCCTACCCATCAAATTCTTCAAAGTTGGAAAATTTTCTTTCACTAAGTAAAAAATATTCTGGATGATAGTACTGAAAAGCAAGCCTTGAAATTCATTGAGAGAAGAAAAATTCAAGGGGAGAATTGGATTCTCTCTGTTTTTGCATATGTGTCTTCAATCAAATTCGGAATTGGATTCTCTCTGTTTTTGCATATGTGTCTTCAATCAAATTCGCACCATCATAAATTTATCTTCTTCTTTCTCTTCTTTTTCTCAGCAGTCCCACAAAAGAAAAAGAAGGAAAAAAGAAGAAACACCAAATCTTAGTAGATCTTTCTCTTTGATTTTTTTTTTTTTTTTTTTTTTTGTCCTAACCTAAGAGCCCCCCAAAAAAAGTTGGAATTTTGCAAAAAAGTTGGAATGTGCTAACAACAACAAAAAAGGGTCATTGAAAATTGCAGAATAATGAGTGCGCAATTTAATTTTGTTACCAATTCAATATTGCATTTGTTTTTGGTGACGCCTTTTTTTCTGGGTTTTGTTTTCAAGCTGGAAAAGGCTCAAAAATGGTGAAGGGAACATATCCAATGCTCCGTCTTGATATGGCACTTCAACTCTTGGTGCTGTCACTTGATGGTGATGATCTATTTGATGATATTCCTGAGTTAAAGAGTAACATCCAGACCCTGAAACTGGATTTGAACTTCCTTAGAATGTTTTCATGGATGCTGTCTTCCTATGGAGATGATTCAGAATATGATTGGCATTTCCTCTCTGCAATCAATGTCATGCTGCCTAAATTAACCCAAACAATCGAAGAGTTTTTTCGGGATTATGTATGTGTACGAGGTCAAAAGCAGGGCATTATCTGGGAAGAAATGGCACATGGTTTAGAGAAAGTAATTCAGCAGTTTAAGCCACAAGCAAAGGAAATGTGTTTCCTCGTACTGGATGGCTCTTCGATATGTTATTCTCGCAAACACCAGCTAAAATGGTTGTTGCAAGAACAAGGAAGGGAAATTACATCCGTCGTCGATTTCATCCTGCAGAATCTCAATGCTCTACTTGAGTCTGATGTAAGTCTGATTGCTCCTTTGAAGCAACAAATTTGTTTTATTCAACAGAAACTGAAGGAGTTTCCGGGTTTTTCAAAACCTGTCAATCTTTCAATAATCAGAGTGAAGAAATTGAGTGAACTCGTATCTCGTACTCAAGTGTGGCTTCAGCAAATCTCATGTCTTGTGTGCCTGTACTGGATAAAGAGTCCGTCGTCTACCACAGAGGCTATAGTTTCTGGTTTGATCAAATTAAGTCCTTGCGCTCCAGGGTTCGTAGCATCCCATGTTGAAGATACAATGATTTCTCAACTACTCGCGAGTTATTTTGATTCTGTCCTGAAAGACTTGGATATGAAGGATGATGACATTGAAGTCCTTCGAGGAGGTTTGATATTCTTGTCATCATTTGTCACGAACCCACCAATGAAGGATTCAGAGGATGTGGAGTTGATTCTGCCTCGAATGTATGCCATCATCAATGAACTGCCATCTCTCATTTCCAAGACCGATTCCTTAGCTTTTCTGCAAAAGATCAATGCATGCAAGGCCATGATAAGAAAGGTATATGGTACAGCTCCATATTCAGCAGAATTGAATCCTCCCAGAACTAATCCAATTGGATTTCTTGATTCACTCTTAAGAACACTAAAGAAAATGTTGGAAACAAATTTGAACTTTATTCCGTCTATGAAGCATCAAATTGATGTACTCCATGAAGTGCTGGTGTTGCTGAGGAGATTTCTCGAAGACTACACTGGGATGCAGGATGGGAATGGAAAGTTCAAAGATCTTTGGACTCGAGCTATTGTGCTGGTGTACCATGCAGCACATGTCTCACACATTTCCGCTGCCAAGAGTTTCCCGGTATGGTATAGTGTTGGAGGCCTCCCGGACGTTATAGAGGACATAAAGCTCATCAATAATGAGTTTCAAAGGCTTGAGTATCAAGAGAAGAACAAAGAAAAAATGCTCGATGCTGGGATGGTGGATGGTGCCGGGTCACCACCAGAAGCTATAACTCCCAAGATTGAAGGAACTTTTGTGGGTTTTCAGGAGGATGCCAAATCAATTATAGATTACCTTGTAGGGGGGCGGAAGGATCTCACAATCATTTCCATATCGGGAATGCCTGGCCAAGGGAAGACAACTTTGGCGAAAAAAGTTTACAATGATCCTCAAACTCAATATCATTTTCATAAAACTGCATGGTGCTATGTCTCAAGAAAATGTACAGCAGTACAGTTATTAACCGAGATTGGATGTGTTCTTATTGGTCCTAACACCTCAGGGCTAGAACTTCCAGATTTAGTTGAGTGGCTAAGGAAAAGTTTAAAGGAAAGAAGATACCTCCTTGTAATGGATGATGTTTGGGACGTAGAATTATGGCACCAAGTGCAAGGATCATTCCCAAATGACAGTAATGGGAGTCGAATTCTATTTACAAGTCGTAATCATGATCTAGCTTCAGGTGTTGGGCTGCATTGCATTTCACATCGCCTTCGGTTGTTTTCAGAGGAAGAAAGCCAAGAATTAATGAAGGAGAAGCTATTTCCTGGTGATAGTAGAGTTCATCTGGAGTTTTTATATATTTCCAGACAAATTGCAAGTTATTGCAAAGGGTTGCCTTTAGCAGTTGCATTAATTTCCTCTACACTTCAAAGGACAGAGAGGAAATTGGATTTATGGGAAAAAGTAGCTGAAAATTTAAAATCTCACCTAGTTAATGAAGGGTGCGGGAATGTAATCGAGTTAAGTTACAAGTATTTACCGCATCATTTGAGATCATGCTTTCTGTATTTTGCAGCATTTCCAAGGGGAAGAAATATCTATGCTAGTGAATTGAAGCAGCTCTGGATTGCTGAGGGATTCATCAAGGATGATGAGAAACATTGCTCTGAATATTTAGCAAGTAAGTACCTGGATAATCTAGTTTCTCAAAATCTAGTGGTTGTGGTTGAAAGAAGTTCCATGGGTGGAGTTAAGAAATGCAATGTCCACGATTTATTGTATGACTTGTGCTTGGAGAAGGCCAAGGAGGAGAACTTCCTAAATTGGTCAGAAGAGATCCCTAGTGGGGATGGATGCTGTTTCAGTCCACGAAAGTGTGGCGAACATCGGCTTTGCATTCGTAGAGCGGACCCATTCATCAGGCCAAGATCACTGTGTATGAGAAATGAATTACCAACAACTCAGCTCCACTCTTATTTTTGGTTTCATGATCATATTTCCAACTTTTGGTTTCCAGAAAGCTGTCCAGTCCTCAAGGTATTAGATCTGGAGCAAGTTTATCTGGATCATCGTGAGTTTCCTCAACTTATACTTTCCAACATTCACCTGAAGTACTTGGCCTTGAATTTTGGTTATCTTAATATTGATTGCATTCCACCAACAATAGCTAACTTGTGGAACCTTGAAACTCTCGTCGTGGTAGCAAAGATGCTCAATGGCCCATTACCAGATTGCATGTGGAAGATGAAGAGTCTAAGGCGTGTTAAATTATGCCGGGCTAGACTTTGCTTACAAGAACTTGGGGAAAACAATTTCTTTGTATTGAATAACATTGGGAGTCTTGGTGAACTAGAGCTTGGCAGTTATGATATTAAGACAGCTGAGTTCTTAAGAAAGTTACCAAACCTTAGAAAGTTGCATTGCCACATTGAAGACAAAACATGTTATCATATATGGCTTTCCATGATTGGTTCACTGCCAGGTCTGCAGTCCCTCTTTATCGATGGCAACTTCTATGAGCCGTCTTTGTATGTAACCTCTCCACTGTTAAACCTCCCTTCAAATCTCAGGAAGTTGTCGCTATGGGGAGTGTATCTTGCATGGAGTGCAATATCTGTGATCGCGAAGGGATCACCTGTTCTTCAGGTTCTCAAATTATCATATGGAGCATGTGCTGGCTCAAGGTGGAAATTGAATGATGGGGACTTTCCAAGCCTGATGTATCTTAAATTGGAGTTTTTAGATATTGAAGAAATAGATGTGTCTGGCTGTGAAGATAATCCCTTCCCTTGTCTTGAGCAACTTGTTGTGAAAAATTGTTACAATCTTAAGGAGATTCCTACCATCTTTGAAGAAATGTATACCTTGAAGACTATCCAAATGATTTGCAGCTCTGGTGAAGCCAATAATTCAGTAAGGGATATTTTGGAAAACCAACGAGACATGGGAAACAATGTCCTTCAAGTATTTGTCAAAGAAAATTCCAATGCTGACACTTACAGATCGTTGTCTGTAGATGACAACAGCTATGATTCCCCTGATTGGAGGAATCAGCTTATAGATGGTAGTAGGCAGAGGATTGTGGACAGAATGTTAGAAACTTTGTGCAGGCATCTCCATTTCTCAAGATTAGGGGACTTGAAAGAGTTAAAGAAAAGGGCCATGACATATGAGGACAGGAGCTATGCCATAGCTAAAAGCCAGTCGGATTATTTCAGAATGATCTCTTTTAAGATGTTCACTATGGAAAACAGGGGGCTGAACACCATTGCATCATCATTCACTGTATAATTCTTCTATGTATACAAATCAATCCCGCGGATGCATTATATTAGGTATCCAGAGTTTGGTTGGGTTTTCTACTTTTCTTACTTTTTTTTTTCTCTTAATAAATTTGAGGTTATATAACTCTGGTTGACTTATTATGTTGTCTTCTGTGATTTGATTTTGTTATTTTTAGTGATTTTCATTCAAGAAGGAAGTTTGTGGATATCTTGGTTGCACAGTTTTCTGCATGGTAGCACTGCGGATGAATACTGCACTTTTCAAGTTATTGAAACGTTGAAGAAATTTTCGCCAAGGGCCTGTAGTAGCAGTACTCGCGTTGATAGAGGTAAACATTGTGTCTTTTGAGACACATTTTATTGCAAAATCCAGTATGACTCCAAACCCTGCTCCCGCTGTATGATTACTTGTACTCACACAAAAATAATAATGTTTATAAAACAAATCAGGTACAACAAGACTTCATTCTGAATAAAGGAGGTTGTGGCAAATTTTAGTGGAAAGTCAGCTTCGGCTTGATTATCAGTGATCCCATAAACCAGAGTTCAGTAGTCAATGGTGCTCGAGTTTCTGGAACCATAATTCAGGGTTTTTCAACACAAAGTAAGTTTAAGACTCCTTCATGCATCATCAATGTAATGTGCTCGTATTGAATACATATCTGTACCTTAGTAACCAACTCTGCTGTTGATTCTAATAGCACCATCCCATCTTGAGAAGGTTTTAGGAGTATAAATTGCTGTGGGACAACCTTGGATCCATAGAGCTCGGAAAAAGATCAATGTGGTTGCGGAGGTGATCCACAGCATGCAAGGAGAGCTCTGCAAACTTCCGGACATATATAGTTGCCATATGCAAAAAAAGTACAAAGTAATGGTGCATCTTGTCAGTTGAAATTTCTTTAGAAACCTGACATTTTAGGTATATAAGTGGGCACGAGAAGTATAAAAGTCACTGTAAACAAGAATGACTGCGCTGATGATTTCGCTTTTGAAGCATTTCTGTTGCGACAGAGTTGATAAAAAGTTTTGGCGCGCAATCATTTAGTGAGTTCTTGCATGGGGCTGAAGTCTGAGTTCTTGCATTGTCAATATGCATTCCCAGATTTATTTTCTCTCTGCAGAAACTTGCATAATCAATACAGGAAATCCCATCAGTTAGACCATGTCTTCATTTCCTAGTAGAGGAGAATCAAAGGACATGTAAAATCTTCCAAGTTTGCGATTTGAGAGACATTTCTTCGAGGGGATGGAGAGTAGGAGATTTAAATGGCCTGATTTGGTCGAATGACGACGTCTTTTACATATTTATGGTCCAGATAGTTTATTAATTCCATATCTTTTGTCATCTTAAGGTTGGATCTAAACTGTTCTTTTTTATCTGGCAAATAATATTCCCAATATCAATGATGTTCTTTTTTATCTGGCAAATAATATTCCCAATATCAATGATATATTATGATAATGAACTATTGTGTTTTGTAAAAATTGAACAAAATTGTTTTGCAACTATATGTTTAAAAGATCAAAAAAACGATACCTCTAAATCTAAATTCCGAGATCGCGAATGATTTGTTAATGTTACAATAAAAATAAAACAGTAGAAATAAGAACCAATACCGCCTTATATATTGGATATTATAATCTGCTCCCTCCGTCCCATGATTATTGTCCAGTTTAAGTTTTCATTTTTAGTTCAAATTGTACTAAAAATAAATTCTCAAATTGGATAATAATTTTGAGACAGAGAGAGTAATAGATAAACTCAGCGAGTATTACGGTCAGGGACATTTAGTTTAACAGAAGAGGATATTTAATTTTAGCAACATGGTAAAGTATATTTGCATAAATAGTGTCTCATAGCCACCCATTGGCGGTTTAGATGGAGTAGTTCTGATTCAATTCCATGGAGTACGAATCCTATATCCATATAGGCATACATTCTACAGAAATTAATATTAAGTGGCTTCCTCGGAAATGAGACTTTCTCCAATAAATTGGTGATATTACCCTTAACTGTGACCGGAGATGCCAGCATCATGATCCAAACAATAGACTGCAATTCTGCAGTCCTTTATTCGAGTTTGCTGCGATCCCAACCAAAAACAAAGCGAGTAAAAGACTAGGCAACGCCTTTTCTTACAGCAGAACTTACCCTTAGAACTCATAAACATTGTGTGTAAATAACAAAATGATCCTCTACAGAGGTACACAATAGAAGATATATTGTAAACTGTACTGTCATGACTGTCATCTGACCCTAACACTACAATTTTGCAGCACGACATAAAGAATTTACAAGTCCTCCAGGTCACTATCGTGAAATTAGTTCAGTCCATGATGATATGTTTGCATCAAAAAACATAATGTTCAAGTGACTGGAATCAACCAAGGAACAAGCTTCCTAAGAAAAAAAAAAAGAGTAACACAGAAGGCACAAATCAACTCAAACTTCCCACACTAAGATTTTCTTTCTTTAGTCAAAACTAAGTAATGATCACACTGAGAGATCCAAATTCGGCAACTAACGCACCTTGAGTGCATCTGGCACAACACCATCGACATGAATGATCACGTGTATAAGCACGTGCAAGTAAAATTATGACAAGCAGAACAACTGCCAGATGCATGGGTTTATCTACCATACAACACAAAAAATAAAAATTGAAGTTCCTCTCTGGCCATATGGTAACCATTCCCATTAACATCATGTCTAATGATCTGTAGGCAGGTACTGGCAAAATAAAAGCATAACAGAATTCAGTTCTCATGACTAATATGACAAGTTACAATTTGCAACTCATTTACAATGGAACAGATTGGTGAGACCGTTTTCAAAGTACAGGGTCATCCAGCCAATTAAAAAGGGCATTGATTTGGAGAACTAGTATTGACCCTACTGACATTACCTTTAAAATTGATGGCTTTACCTAGCATGAATGTAACGACAAAAGAAACCAAAGCAGACGCCATTAGGGACAGCTGTAAACAGAATACTAAACGATGCACGAGACCAACTTTACACTTGAAGTAATATTACTCCTAAACTGTAGTAATATAGCCACTATCAATGCCTTTTTGGCATTAACTAGAAGATACGTCATCGCCGTTGCAGGAAAAAAGTTGTTCCATCTCAATGATACAGCCACACTACCATATCACCTCACGTGACCCTGTTTAGAAGTTACAGGCAAGCATCATTCCCTTCTTATGCAAATTCTGCTTCTTCTTTTCTTTCATTTTCATCAAAAATAAAAAAAATAAAAATCTGTTTTTCCATATTATGCCAGATAAATGAAGATTCTAGCCTTCCAAGGGAAAAAGGGTAACTAGCACTTGAAAGTCAACCTGCCACCTAATGCAACCAAACGAATGTCCCATTTATCCGAGCTAAATACCAAGGCCACAAATTTCACACGTCACTTTGTACAGAACCATATCAAACCTCAGATAATGCCTATGACCTAAATCCAAAATCTATCAATATAAAATGCACCTCCCAAAAAGCTCACGTTTTCTTATCCTTAAAGGAAGAGCCAACATAGTATTATACAAGAAGAAAAGAACAGTGCTGCAAGAAAGAAACTGGCTACAACCAACACATCAGGAACTTGGAAGACACTTGTAAAACCATAGGATACCTGAATATTCACACATTATAGAATCTGTTCCAGTTTAGAAGTGTGGAAAGGTTATAATGATCTTAACATAGATGTAACGGTACCAGAATGGACAGCTAAAGGAAAATGCAAACACGCACAAATTTAGCCATTCCTAGAAAGACAAAACAGAAACAAACAAAGATGAAAACACTGTTCGAACTTTTGATGCACAATATAAGCAACATAAAGGATGGATGCAGCAAGTATCCAACACCAATTTGGTATCATTCAGTTTGACCTTGCGGTTAACTACTTGTCGCAAATACCCTATCAATGAGCTACGTAAGCAAAATCATTACTAACTAGAAAACTATTTACCACCCTAGAGAAACAAACACAAAATCTATAAAACTGAAAAACGCAGAAGGTACTGCAAAACTACGGTGTGAGGCTGCAAGAAAAGTACCCCAATGAATTAATTGAGCACTAGTTTATCAACATAGGCAGCAGCTTATCAGCCATTGCACCTCATCCTCTAACTGTTAAAACATTCCATGTAGATTCTCAATGCAAAATCTTGTCCTTTCCCTTGATTACAAAAAGAGGAAAAAATCTAGGAGAACCCTCTATTGAGCTTTTGAATCGAACAAAACATTTTCCTCCGCGTTCCAACTGCACTAATTCCCATGTCCTTCAAATCTTCTAGCGTCAACATAGGCAGAACCTCATCATCTACCTCATGTACCTCAAAAACTGGAGCATACCGTCCTAAACCCAACTGATTCAGCCAAATCTTCACCCCATTCCTCTCAACCGAATCACTAGGCCCTTCCATTTCATCAGACCTAGCCACTCTCCGACCACTTTTGCTAAAACCCCTTTGTTCCCTATCCATAACATCTTCATCATTGTCAAACGAATGAACTGGACTCTGGTTTCTCTCCTCTTCTTCCTCTTCATCATCTGAATTATCGCGTCTAAAATCCCTATCCACCTCCTCATCATTGTCCAAATTAAAACCGTCTTCCCCCTCACCATCACCATCCCCTCCATTAGTCAACAACTTCTGGCTTCCATCAATTTTTGATGACACCCAGTTGGACCTTACCCTCTTCCTAACTGAACCCCCTCTCCCTCTTTTCGATTTCAAATCCCTAAAAGATTTCCAACTCCCAATAGCAACCCTATCCAAATCCAAGTCCCCATCGTCATCCTCAACCTCATTAGCAAAACCCCCATTCTTACCATCATCATTATCAAAATTACCATTCTTATCCACAACTAGGGTTTCACTACTTTTACCTCTCGCACCTTTCTGCGGCGGATTCCAAGGGTACTTGAGCTGCCTTTGCTGCTTGGACGAGCCCCTTCTCTGGGGAGGGTCCAGGTTTTCATAGCCCAGAGGCGTGTCCCCTCCAATGTCCCCTAATCTCACACTCGGTCGTCTCTGCCGCTTCGCCGTCGTCCCCGCCATCGTCTCCCCAATCCCGCCGTTACTCTGCCCCTCAAATTGATTCAGCTCCGCCATTCCTGTCGGCCCACATCAACTAGGGTTCATAACCGTATATATATATACACGAATTCAAGGGCTTATCCACGAATTTCCCAGCACAAAATATTCATGGGGCAATCAAAGGTTAACGGGTTGGGATTCGATTGTATGGTTTTACAAAGATTATTAAAGGAGTGGAGGAATCGAAGAGTTGAGTTTTGTGAGTAGGAGTGTTGGGAGTGTGCAAAGATGAGATTTTTAGGATTGTGTAAAAATTGGGTACTACTAGCAGTCATCATTAAATGGAAGCATTTTATACAAAAGTGACTATGTTTATTGCTGTTAGGTTTTATTAATGGGTGAGTGACACGTGTTTTGGTTTCGAGGGAGTTGATGATGAGATCAAACATATGAAAAGGGTGTCTCGGCTAAAAAAATTTAAAAGAATTGATTTTTTTTTTACAAAACTAGCTGTCTCGAATTTGACAAATCTGATAGCCTAATTAAACGGACATTCGGATTTCTCAAATCTGAACTAATAAAATATAATAAAAATTATATGTTTTCGTTATTTTAGAAAATAAAGAAAATAGAGTCAACAAGTGAATAGTGACCTCGGATTTGAGAAATCTGAAAGGTTTTAAAATTTAATATTCCAAAAATGCTAAAGAAATGGCGGACAAATTTAAAATTTAGAATAGTGATTTCGGATTTGCCAAATCCGACTTCTAGGGTTTAGGGTTAGGATTCGGATTAGCCAAATCTGACAGTTGCCTTTCAATTGAAGGGTAATCTGTCCTTGTAGATAAGGTTGTTAGATGTGTTAAATCGGATGGATAAGGTAACGGACATTCGGATTTGCTATATCCGAGAGCTCCACATGAATAATGACTCTCGAATTTGCCAAATCCGAAACAACGTGATATATATAAAAAAAAAAAAAAAATTGCAGCTTCCCTTCAGATCGAATTTTTTAATTTTTGAGGGTTAGGGAAGGTTGTGGCCGGAGTTCTTGAGGATTTTGGACGCACATTACCGTTAAATGCAACAAGAATCATTATTCTAACGAGATTAGTCATTAAATCAATATTTTTTTAGTTGTTTTGTTGTGTATTTATATTGTTTTGAAGATAGAAGATTGGTAGGGCTTAGGATTGATGATTGTGAATGTAATATGATAATGGAGATGTTGTTGTTAAGTTTATTGGTTAGAATTGTTGTTATTTTAAGAATTGATATAGGTTAATTTAATTAATTTGGATCGATTTTGTTTGTATGGATAATTGATAGGATTTAGGGATAATTCGTATAGATAATTTAATGAGAAAGGAGTTGTTTTCTTTTTAGGTGAGAATTGTTGTTTTTTTTTTAGGTAAGATTACAATTAATATACTTAACGATTTTTTTGTCCCTTAATAAACAGTTAAAATGTCCACGTACGGGCTATACATACTTAATTTGTTTTATAGAAGCAAGTATATGATAGAGAACGGTGTAGTGAACACATTTGAGAACAAGCCGGACGACACTCTTGTTATTGATAGTAGGTTGTCATATGATGAGTTGGTTGGTTTGATTTGTGTGACGTTCGTTGGAATCTTGAAATAAATAGGAAACTCCACATTTCGTTAATATTTGTGACTCAGGGTGTAAGGCGCGCCATGAAGATAAAGAATGATTCACATGTTAGGATCATCTATCACCTCGAGCTAATGACAAGTGTGGATTTGTACATTGAGACGAAGGATATAACTAACCAAGAAGATGGGAACAATCATTATGGTGGATCTTTCTTTGCACAAGATAATCACATGGATGAGAGTGAACAAGATGGTCCAAGGCAAGAACAAGAAAATACTTCACAGATTCATGAAGAAGATGGTGAAAGTTTATTTGCACAAGATGATCACATGGATGATAATGATTCCGACTACGTAGCTCCAAGCAAAAGCTCGGAAGCACGAGATCCTAGTGATGATGATGAAAGTGATGATGAAGAATTAGTGAATGACGAAATGGAACTAAATCCATTTCCCCGGCGCCATGTGTATAAGGAAATGGGTGAATGGAATGCGCCGTGTGTTTACAATGATGATCTTGATATAAAAATGTGGGACGAGACTCCCGAAGGGATGGGCACTAAAATTTGTTTCAAGTCTCAAGGAGAAGCGAAACATACCGTGAAATTATGGAACATCCACCATAAAAGGGATTTAAAGGTTATTGCGAGTAGGACATTAGATTCCCCCCTCCCCTCCCCCCAAAATGGCGAACCTATATGCAAATGGAGGATCCGCGTATCACTAGGAAAGCATGGCTTGCATCAAATAGTGAAATGGCGGTCCGCGCACAATTATATGAGGGTGGTTAACGATAATGACAATCGTTGTGCTGACTCGATGTTTATTGCTAGACTAGTCATGAGAAAGGTTGCGAACAACATGGAGTACACGGTAAAATCGGTACAAAAAGATGTGAAGGAGCTGGTAAAGTTGATGTCCCCTACAAAAGGGCGTGGAACAGGAGGAGGAAAGCCATAGAGGCAGTTTATGGCGTTTGGTCCTCCAATTTTAAAGATCTTCCTAGGTAAATTTCAATTTTGATAAATTTCAATTAATTTTTTTTAGTTTTTACTTGTATTGGCATATATTTAACTCGAGCAAACTTGATGTGTAGGTATGTTGAAGCACTTAAGAGTACTAATTCCGAAACCTTTAGTGGAATGGGAATGGAAGGAGGGAGAACAAGGTTGGAATATGGGAAGAAAGACTTTTAAATACATGTTTTGGTCATTTGCATCAGTGGTTGCGACTTTCCTTGAATGTCCGTCCGTGATTTCTGTTGATGGAACACACCTACGTGGGGGATACAAGGGTAAGTTGCTGGTTACTGTGGTGTATACTGCAAACAAACACATTTTACCGGTTGCATTCGTCGTGGTGGATGAAGAGACCACTGAAAGTTAGACATTTTTCATAAAACATTTGAGGTATCATGTTGTGGGTGACACCAAAGTAAGTGTGATTTCTGACCGGAACGTTGGTCTTTTGAGGGTAATGTCAGAAATACCAGAATGGAGTAATTTAGGTGATGGGGCCCACGTATATTGCCTCCGACACGTTCGGAACAATCTAGTGTCGAAGTATAGGAGTGCGAGAATCAAGCGGTTATGCCAAAATATGGGGAAGACGCTTAATTTTGAAAAATTCAAGCGACTGAGGCAAGAGCTCCGCGAATTAAAACCTGAAGCATGGGAGTATCTTCGTGACATAGGGGGATGTAATTGGACTCGTTTGAAAGCCGGACGTCGTCGTTGCGGAGTCACAACTACCAACATTTCTGAGAGTTACAATAATACCCTAAAAGGTATCTGATTTTTGCCCATTAGAGCTATGATCGATGCTACATTCCACAAAACCGTGAGATTTGGCCAAACAAATATTAAGATTTGAAGTGTTGTTTTTGTAGGTTCTCCGGAGGTCGTGTATCAACAAATGGCCCGATTAATGCTCTTGTGGTTTATGGGTTCTTTTATATTTCCGGACAGAAGTAAAAACAGTGTTGGTTTATATTTATTGAACCATTTGGGGGATTTTAATCATTGTGCAAAACTTAGTTGGGGATCGGCTCTACTTGCTTACTTGTATTCTAGCCTGTGCGAGGCTAGTCATCATGAGAAACGTAATGTAACCAGCTGTGTGTATCTTCTACAGGTATTTATTTATTCAATACGTGACAATTCAATTTGAAAAACATTTATTATATTGTGAAGTATTGTTATTTACTGTTGTTGTTATTGATTTAGGTTTGGGCATACGAGCGGATCCCGAGAATCATGCCCCAAAGAATTTTAAAGAGATATGAAGAGGATCCTACAGCTCCTTTAGCTTATCGGTGAGCTTATATCCTATACTCTTAATTTAAAAATTACTAATATTTTTTATTATTTTTATTGGATAAATAATACCTTTGTTTTTTTTTTTTTGTATTGAAAGATAGAATTGCTCATACTCCTAAAAGAACGTCCCAAGGTCTAGTCTCCCGGGTTCTAGAGACCAAATGACCGCCTTAAAAGTCTATGATGTAAGCATGAAAAGATTCTCAATTTATTTTTTTCCCACCATTCTTATGTGAATTAATTCGTTAATTCTCAATTTTTTTCACAATTTGTTTGGCAACCCTACGAGGATCTCCTCCCTACCTTCCTTGATTGTTGTAAACATGAAAGTGCCATTTGGATGGAAAGGACGTGGATATTCTACTAGGCTATCCGAGAACCCCATGAAATTGACAAAGTCGTGAGACAATTTGGCTACATTCAAGGAATTCCCTGATGGCCTATGATTGTCAATATCCAAGAGAATATAAATCTTTACGAATACAACATGTCTGGGCTTACTGAGAAAAATTGGGTAGAACACCATACTAAAGTACACCCCCATTGGAATAGGAGAGCCCGAAATATTCCTACGGATTTGGAGGAAGGGAAGCTCGGTCAAACTAATGAGAAGTACAAAGCGTGGCATTACAAAGGTTTGGTGAAATTGATAAGCGATCCGAGCCACTACTCATCAGCCGGATATGAGGTTTCCTCGAGCCGGGTGAAAGTCTATGTAAGTGTTTATTTCAATTAATCTACGTATGGAAGTGTATTTTACTCTATTCATATAAATTTTGAATTATACTCCTTTAGTTAACGCATTATTTGATTTCCAGGGTGAAGTGTTGAACAATGTCCATATAAAGGCCATATCATTCTGAGAAGAACGTCGTAGAGCCCATTGCCTAGACGACGAGCTCGACTATTTCACGGACGTAACCTACACTATTTTAACTCTCGGAAAGGACAATGAGATGGAAATTGAGGATTCACAAATCCTTGTGAAGTATGATACGAGTCGCCCCTCACAAGGTCCGCGCAGTAAAACAATGAAGCCGTGGCCAAGAGATAAAATTGGAGGGGGAAGAAAGCAAAGGAATCCTTTCAGGCCATCACAGGATCACGCAGAAGGTTCGGGCCAACACGAGCAAGAGAACCCATGAGGAGAGAATGTGAGAGGAGGGGAGGAATGGGAGGAGACAATGTGAGAAGAGAGGACGATGTTGGTTCTTCGAGAAGATCTTACACTCCACATGAAGAAGAGGTATCTCTCACCATTACTCTCGGAGGAGAATCGCAAGTCTTAAACGTGGAGCCAATTCTTACAATCCGTCCAGAGCCACTGGAACAAGGGGTTTGCAAATTCGACAGGCCGCGCAACTCGCTGGTTAAATTTACCCCGCCCACTATTCTTAGGAGAG